GCGGCGGATTAGTGGTACACCGCCCTATTCCTACTTAGCGATGTCAATGTGAGCGTTAGACGTGATGCTGCGGTGTAAACAGACGTTATCGGGCCGTACGATATTGTTTCAGACAATAAAAGCTTTATATATTTATGGGAACGGTTTCCGGCTGCCAGTCACATCCTGATGGCAATAGCACAGTTCCAACTGGGTATCAGTGATAATGATAGTTAGATGTACCCACGAAGTGGACACTCATTTTTTCTACTACCTCACTGTACGCCAGCGTGACATTCGTGAAATGCACATGACATATGTATTGCGTGGAGCGGATCACCAGCTGCTGCGCACCAAACCGTACACATGTTTTTATAAATTCACGCCAAATCAATGTGATTTACTCGTTCTCCTGTTCCTGTGGAGGTTACATTGGTCGAACGACTAGGCGTCAGTTGGACAGGGTGAGGGAACGCCACTCGGCGTGGCTCATGACTGATAGTCGAAATCCATGTTTTGTTCGTCTGCCATGAACGGGCAGATTCGCCTTGGAGATATCGACACCAATGATTCGGTAGGCGTCCTACGGTACCACCTCAAAAACAGATAACATTTGGTGCTGAGATGATAGATCGCGCAAACTGCAAGCGGCCAGATTGATTTGATCACAACAGTGCGACCGCTGGTGCAGTCATGTCAGAGAATGTAGCATTCGCTGTGCACTAGGCGGATTGCTACAATATGAAGAACGGTGCGAGCCGCAAGATGAGTCGGTGATTGACTCGAGGATTCCGCCGCATCAAGAATCCATAGTGGATGGAGAAGGCTGAGCAGATGGAATGTTACGGCAAACGCCGCGGAAATAGGAAGCTCTATGGTAGTGTGTGTTACCCACCTTGCAGCAAATGAGGAAGCTGGTGGATATTGATTCGGGGATTGTCTACACACAGTCTGCAGGTATTATGCAGATGTGGTGAAAGCACTCCAACGGTTTGCTGAACAACCGTAGATTGGGATGACATAATTGATTGATTGAGATACCTTGCAAAGGCTGTAACAGCGAAGTGTGGAGAACGGTCTAGTGTACACCATCGGATCGCACAAAATGCAAAGAGCACTTGCTCAACTGCGAAATGATAAATGCGCCGGAGCGGATGGAATAAAAACAGAAAACAGCGGACCAGTGATGCTGTCTGCTCTACAGCACTCAGTGGAACGCATTTGGAGCAAAGGACAAGTACCCGCTGAACTGTAGGTGGTCCTTGTGCAGCGATTGTACAAGAGACAAGGAAGCAAGCGGTGTAGCAACGTATCGTGAAATCAACTTGCTCAGCTGTGTCGGGAAGATGATTGCTCGGATTCTGCTCAACCGCCTCGTAACTCACGTTCTTGAACTAAAAACGGTGCAACAGTAGTGTGGTTTTTACTGGGCTGCAGTAGGATTAACACGACGTTCGGGGTTCAACACAAAAGCGTTCGCGAACGAACCAACCATTGTACTCACGGTTTAGTGAATTCAGTAAGGCATTTGATACGGTGAACCGCGAGGCACTCTAGCTGGATTTGAGCAAGTTTGCATATGTAGGTAAATATGTTCGCCTCAATGAATGCCTTGACAGTTGTGAGGGTCAAGGCACAGCTACGTTAACAAACTTCGGATGAGTTTGCTGTTATCTCTGGTGTGAAGCAAGACGCCTGTTCTGTAATATTTACTTGCCATGGTGCCCTCAGCTTTTAATGCTTGTGATTACGGTGTCCGTCTCGAGCACCGCATCAGTGGTGAGTTTTGAAGATCCATCATTTTTGAGCGAGAACCCGAGTGCCATTATGTGCACGCACGAGGATCAGCTGCAACGTATGACAACGACTGTCGCTTCGACGTCGAGCAAGCTCCGACTCCCCAGCAACGCAGGTAAGAACGTCTGTCTCTTATAGCCGTCCCTAGGACTGGAGTCTGTGAGCTGTCCGAAAACCAAGACAGCCGGTGCAGCTTGGGGGACATCGAACTTTGTCTACCTCGGCAGCATGCTGTCAAAATAGGCACCAACGGTACTCCGTACCGACACCCCGCAACCACCACCAGTTGCACATGGGTTAAGAATACTGCGAGAGTCGCCCGATCCCTACGCAGGCTCGAAACTGCACCTTAGGATAACAAAGTAGGCTTGTGATCCTTAGGACTACTGGTCGGTAACAGAAGTGCAGATGATTAGCGAGGTGCACATCCGCTTATCGAGATCCAGTGTTTGCGTTAGGCGAGGTGGAACATCGGGTGTGGAAAATTAACAGCTAATCGTTGGGACCAAGCAGACGGCGTACAAATCAATGGTGTTGTCGGATGTTGGTCACAGTAATGAAATATAGACTGTACACAGGGACATCCGATAGTCGGTGTCACCACATTAGCAATGCTTGTGTCAGATGCTGCGTAGCGTCGGTGTGATGGGTTTCTGATACGGAACTGCCACAGCGAAGCCGCTGCTACTAGGGCACCTGAGATTAGTCGGGCAGGTCCGCCAGTATATGCAAGTAGAATACCGAAACACGTATAATATGGCCGACTTAGTAAAGGGGAGCGGAGGGTGTGTAAAAAGAAGCAACCTTGCCAAGATATGGTCGTGAATTTATCAAAAACTTATATCAACTTTGGATGTTGGGAAGCAATAGAAGTGAATTGCCGTCAATAGCGTTGCCATATCAGGAACGCCGTTTCTAAGGTGTACGAGAAAGGACTGTTGCATAAGGAAGGAAAACCAGTTACAGAAGAGACAGACGTCGATGGAGCCTAGGCGAACATCAGGCGCCTGGCGCTGTATCACATGAGATCGTGTGTGCCTCCCTAAGTCGGTCTGGTCATAAAGGGGAAAATATCTAAGAGGCTATGGGTAAGTGTCAGCGCATACAAAGCATGCTGCTTTCAGTCCGTTTCACTAATCCAAACCAATAATGCGGCAGAATTTATTCTGTCCCACTTAACAGTTTGCTGACCGATATTTAAGGTCTGGTTACACTTGATGCGGATGTGGACAAGGTACCTAAGGGCCGAAAATCGCCGTCACCATTACTGGATCCAGGAGATTATAAAGAGTTGCTGCGGGAGACGGGGTGAACAGTATACATGACGGTACTAGGGAGAAAGAGTGGTTCTACTCAGTGTGGAACGGGCTACAGCCCAGTCACCGCCCTGTGTGCTGCTGGTATGCATGTTTCACTCTGCTCGAACGAATGATGATCGTGTTGAAGGAGTGTGGGTTGGCTCTGAATCAATCGGGTTTACACTATACATGGGGTGTGTAGATGGAGCTATGGGTGGTGCACTTCAGGCTGCCCATGAACCCTTTGGAGGCGCGGTCGTCCTGTGGCTGATCGTAGTCAGAATGGAAGATAAATCCGGAAACGATATATATATATATATATATATATATATATATATATTCAAGCTGAAGGTGAGGTTGCACACCTCATGCATATTCAAGGCAGTTGGACTACACCGACAGACACTTAAGTTATATCCCTAACATGGATGAAAAGAGTACACTTCATTTGATTTGTTCGGCTCTATTATTCGGCTTGACGTGAGCGCTGACAAGATGCCTACCTGCCTAACATCCTGCACCTCGATTAGTGCCTTCAGGAGACTTAATCGTTGCTGGGGGGAGGGGTGCACAGTCCTCGTGACTTTGCTAGGCTCAAAGAGTGGTTCCATGATGTATAGAGCGGACTACGGCTCAGCAACCGCCTTGAGTGCATCTGGTACGCATTATTCCCAAATTAGGTAAACGGGAATGCTGCTGTGCAAGCTGAAGGAGTGTGGACCGGCTCCGTTGGTGAAAGGTGGCTCCCATCCACGTGCCTCCCGGGTTTTATTCCTTTGGGTTTACACTTCATATGGATTGTGTGGATGTAACTGTGGGTGGTGCAGCGCAATCCACCTATGGTCCCTCTGTAGTTGCAAGCGTCCTGTGGCTGTTCTGTGGAAGCCGCAGTGGAAAACACATCCGGAATCGGACGCCGCCAATCATATACAAGTCTCAAATGTGCGATGTTTGTTGGTAAACAAGCCCCGCAGAGTCCTGAAACGCGAAGGTAGGGACAGCTGAAGAAGTACATTCGGCCAGGACGAATTACAGCGATCATCCGAAAGTGTTCAAAGAACGAACGATATACATACTCAAGACACGATTTGTTTCGGCAATTATCTCTGAAATGTAAGGTGGTACATTCGGTTATGAACAGCAGAGAAGAAAAAGATAAGCAGTACGCCGGCACACCGTACCGACGTTTTGCTCACACACGAGCACCACCAGTGACAAGTGGGGGTGGATCTACTGCGAAGTCGCTCGCAGATTCGAACTGGGTTACAAGGCAGGCAACTTGGTGTTTGACTACCGACCACTATGGATAAGGTCCACATCATCCTCATCCATAAAACGACAACCAATGTGAATGTCTTGTGCTTGGAAGGGAAAGGTATTCTCCAAACCAACATGACTGCGGACGCACAGAGTTCAAGTCACTTTAGGCTTTAGCCTTAGAAATGATGAAATAATGTTCCAACAAGACGATATCGCTACGGTGCCCATGTTGCGGACTGTTCTGCGCACGAGACGCAGGTTCTAAATGTGATGCACGGGACGAGTGCCTTAACGGTTAGAAGGCGTCAAAGCGCGCGATCATAAAAATAGGTTCGAACAAGTGGCAAAATGGAAGAAAACGCTGAGGCAACTGCTCCACTGACATGAGTAAGTGTACCCGTAGCACGCAAAGTAGAGGTAGTTCAGCCGTTGCGAAGTCGTGACTGTATTAATGATCCCATGCAATTGAGGATGAATGTTAGGAGGTGAACGAGAAATGGTGCAAGTTCTTGGAGTGCACCAATAAATAGCCCTCATCCCGTTTTATGCAACAGACAGGCAAGTAATAAAATAATCGCGATTTCGTGAGAGTACGCTATGGTGTGAATGGATTGGGTGCCAAGTAAGGCATCGTAGGACAAACGAAAAGAAAGCACACACACAAAGCCCTTAGCTCAAGATTTAGTACCGCGACTATAAGGACTCATAAAGAAGCAAGGTAATCTTAGCCGGAATTATGGAAGGCGACCCAGTTTTATGTACATGTATGGGTGGTTCAAAAGATCGGAGTAAGTCAATCAGAGCATGGATGAGAATAAGGTGCACATAACAAGAAAGAGATGTAGTTGTGAGGATAGTAACCTGCTGTAGGGGAGTGCTAATCGTACGAGCAAGGATTGAGACAACGAAGCAGAGAACGCGAAGCAAAATGATGTACATTCTACACTTCTGCAGGAGAACGAATGATAGGGTGCGGCGTTAACCGACAAATAGAGGTGATAAGGAGAACAGAGAAGGAGAAGGAACTAATAATAATGGTCAGCAAGCGTAAAAGTTAGCTAAGTTTCAAACAGGACCAACGAATGGCCTCCCTGCGCACAAACAGTGACCACTAGAAGGGACGTGAGGGAGATTGACGCAGATAGTCTGATGCAGATGGCAGCCTGAGTTTCGCGTGTCGAATCGTAATCACAAATGGTCGAACAAATAAATGAATGCATACCTCAAAGAAATCGAAGCCAATAAGTTAAGAGGGGGGAACAATGGGCATCGGAGATGAGTATGCGTTTTTAAGACAGTGACCTCAGACGACGCATTTGGGAACCGATTCGGTTACTGGTGGGGAAAGATGAATCGAGAAAACAGTGTCATGATCAGCATAGCATTAAATGAGACCATAGAGACCACATTTAAAGGAATAAAGAGACCGCTACGTGGGCGTCCCAGATTAGATAATTGAATATGCAGGTAGAAACCTGAGCGAAATGAATGAACTCGTGTACATGGTTTCACACCATCAGCTCGATTCGGCAAAAGGACTCGCTGGCTAGTGACCAAAGAAAGAGTTCATGCTCAGTTATCGAAAGTGGAGACGGAACAGGAACATGGAAAAGATGAGAGAAGAGCAAAGTGAAAAAGATGGCATAACGAGTTGATGCAGCAGACAGGGAACAGAAAGTGTGTCAATGTGCCATAAATCGATGTATAAAACAGGCAAGAATTACGGCGGATAAAACGCAAAGAAAATGGGTCGGAATAAAGATCGTCGAAAAAATTAAACAAAAATTAAAAAGTCCCTTGGTCGGTCGGCAGTCGAGGTAATATGGTGCACAAACACAGCCAAACCGATCGGTGAGCGCATCGCAAATGGCAACAAGCTGGTGTTTATTGCGGCGCACCTCTGCAATAATGGCCAGTCGGGGAGTGACGGAATGAGGGGAAAATTGTTCTGGCTGAACAAAATGAGGCAGGCAGGCGCTTTGCATGCTAAACGGAGAAAAAAAGACCGCGAAAGGAAGAGGCCAGAGAGAGAGTATCGGATTCAGTAAACAAGACGGTTAAGAAAACAATCCCTGAAAAAGAGACGAATACGTGGACATTTTTGATGAAATGCACAGCTCCCGCCAGTTCGAATGAAAGAAAATAAAATCAGTGACATCAAAATCAAACCGCAGAGCAGGAACCCTGAACAGGACATAGAGCAAAAGGAAAGTAGACTACGATGTGAAAACACAATGTCAGAAGCGGATAAGAGCGAAAAATCCCCGAGTTTGTGGTGGACAAGAGTACACAAGTGCACACAGCGTGTGATCCGTAGAATACGTCAAAGGCGAGTGAAAAGCGATGAATGCGGACAAACACACGTACAGTGAAAGGTGGTGTTTGGTAGCAGAGAAGGGGTCATCACAAAAGAAACCTGGTTGGACGAAAGACGATGGCACGCTGAAACGTCCATAATGGATTGTACATGGACGCATGCAGGCAAGCCAATTGGATGAAGGATAACGAACAGAATGGTCAGGGAGAAGAGTTATGGAGGAGAGATATATAGATGGATGAGAAGTGCAGAACCACATCTGCGCCGAATATGGGATGCCTTCGAATGGGTTCATGAGCGATTGGGAAGGGGTGAGGTGGGTGTGAACAGTACGGGCATACAAAAGTGCCCGCCTCAATGTTGACGACGTCGTCAGAGTAGTGGATGGGAATTACGAAGACATCAAGGGATGACTGCGCTGGTGAGTGGGGTGAATATTGACGCGGGTAGCCGCGACAGTAGACGAAATTGATGCAAACGAGGTAGGTGAAGATCAGGAGGCCTGTTCAGCTCACGGATGTACATGGATGGTCCGGCGATCCCATCTGACTGAGTACTCGGTCGAGCCATTGAAGTGGGCCGTTGAGATGTATTTCGATCCAACAAGGGGTGCTTGTAACGGTCTGTCGTCTGAAACCACAGAAAATGAAACACAGGTGACGACTGCAATAGTGTGAGTAAGAAACAGCATTTGAGACAACTCCCTTGAGGAGTAAGCAATGGCGAAAGGACTGGATAGATACAATTATTCTATAACCAGCTGAGAATCGTGCGTTTTTTTGGTACAACGTGTGCCAACTCATAGGATTACCAGTGTGAGAATAAGCGCAAGCATTTAACACATCACTTATAGGGTAAGGACATTGGACGCCCAAAAATAGGAGTGACGCGGTTTGACGTGTGAGATTTCTTAGGAGCAAAAATAATTGGGTGCATTGATGAAACTTGTAGGACCGTGGCGGCAGCTACTCACATCGAGGAGAACGAAAAGAAAATAGACGATAGGGATAGGAAGGAGAAAGAGGAACAAGTGCAAAAAAAGGAAGGGAGGAGCAAGCAGCAGCCCGTGCTCGCATTTCCACACTGCTGTTCGTAGTAGACTGTGACCCTATGAGGCTGGATGAAGTTTGTTAGGAAGGAAATCTGTAGGCAAGCAGCCGAGGCGCCGATACGGAGACAAAGTATGGCAAGTGGGCCGCACTCTCCACACTGATTGGACAAACATATAGCCAACTGGGTGAACCCTCCGATTAACATTAGAGGGGTATTGCTTGATTGGAAATAAGTTCACCCTTCTAGAGGTTTCCAAGGGTTTGATATACCATTTCGGAATGTTCGATGACATTTATGACAGACGATGTGACTAGCAACTACAAAACTGTTTCCTCTATGCTCGTCCGAAACCGAGCTTTTTGCCTTCATATGGGGGACTAGTGACTTCAAGTTTCCGATCGATAGCCCGCAGTCTAATCATGTGAAGGATATCCACTTCAAAGCTGAAGTGGGACTGCAATCGGCTGGTATACTACAGACGTTCGGACCTAGAAAGGTAGAAGTGTAGACTATTCAAGCAAACATTTGATTAAACAAATTGACTGCAAAACAGCGAAGTTATGACAACAGTTCATGAGTTGGGTTAATTTTTCGGGAATCAGTTAGATCCGGATTTCAACTCCCAACAAGAAAAACTAGAAAACTGAAGCTGATTAACTTTTAACGTTTAAACAAGCTGATAGGAGTAGTTCGCAAGGCGGCCGAAAACCGTCTAGTATCGTCCAGTGCATCGGAAAAGTACGCAAAGCGTCGCATTACATCATGAGCTAGTCTAGTTGCGAAGGTCATATCCTAGTGTGCGTAGGCGGCCCAGGTTCAACAAGAACACCGCTGTGGTGGGAGATGAGAAGTTGCCAAACTTCAGCATAACTCACAAGTTCATGGTCATACATGAGCTCGACTACATAAGCATTGGGTAGGAAATCAATACTAAAGCAGTACTCTTTGCTGACATTTCGACGCCTTGAAACCGGTAGTGGCTGCACATGGGTTGGGTTACTGCAGAGGCACCCATGCCATGGCGAAGACTCGAACTTGGGAAGTCGAGATTGGAAGCGAGACACTTGGGCCTGTGGATGCTAATGATCAAACACGGTCAGGCACATAATGTTTTCAGCGCATAGTGAAAATTTCTCTGATCGATCTAACCACACCGGTCATACTGCATCGCCGTACACTCTATGCGCTTTCCTCCTAAGCGAAGGGAAAGTTGGAAAGTCGAAAGTTTGGAAAGGCGCATGGAGATCGCGAATTCTTGCGAAAGTCTCTTTGACGATTTGCTCGTCAGAATTGATACAGTTGTCGAGTAGGTAGACCGATTGGCAAGTTTGAATGGTTGCTGGATGGTAGTGAAGTGAGTGTTGTGTAAGACACAGTTCGGTGACAGAACTTTGCAATCTGAATGTAGGAAGATAATTAAGTGGCATATGGATAGCATCTGGGTCTGACCCAATCATCATCATTACACATTAGCTGAAGATGTGAAACACCAACAACAAAAGACGACATACAGAAAAAAGTACATACAAAGCATTATCGAACCTCAAGACTGAGGTCGTTGTTGGGGGAAGAGGAGAAGCGGGGTGGGGAGGGATAAAGAAACTCATAACACAAACGCCACTGACTCTTCGCCATGTCAACTAGTGTATCCAAACAAACGTATTCATCGTCCTTCGGATCTCAGGCCGGCAGTCAGGAGACACCAACTGACGCCAAGTCCGAAGTGATGGACTTCATTTCTCTTAACCATGTCATCGCTTGGCCTCCCCTCCTCTTCTATCCACATCCCAGCACAAGGCGCGTGAGCCGCTGTGTCGACAAGCGCAACATGTGGACCAAGCATCGAAGCCTGGTGCGTAAAATAACAAAGCTGGGTGGTTCACTTGCTCTTCCTGCACCAAATACGGGACGCCGGACGCGCTCGTTGCTCACGCGATGTTTCCACCAGACATGAGCTAAGCTTCGAAGGTAGCGATGATCGAAGGTGATTAGCTTCTTTATGTCTGTTGGCTTGATGAGCCAGGTTTCGCAAACGTACAGTAGGGTTGAACAAACAGTTGCATTGTTAACTTTGTCCTTCAGGGCAAGTGACTTTGTGCTGGCGCTACAGATGTCGGAGATTAGTAAAAGCGCCCCGAGGAATGCTTCGTTGCTTGTGTGGTTTAAAACCGAAGAGTCTGCCACTTTTAAGAGGAGCCAGTGCAAGAACAACCGTAAGGATTTCGATGGAGGAATACGGATGAACAGAAGTAATGGATGGTCAATGCTTGCCAAATGGGTGTGGCGAACTCGGAGGATAAGGTCCAATAGACATAGTCGGTCTCGTACAGAGAGCCAGGCACAAGTACTGACAGAAATAAGTGTGAGTATATGATTCAAAGTGGCTTTTATATCACAGAAGACTGTCGTACTGGATTTCTTGTGAACAAGATGACATTCAGGCACATAGTGGAGAGCACTTAGGCGGTTAAGGTAACCCCTATGAAAGTGAAATCCAGCTGGGTGTTCATTGATTACAGTCTAGAGGGGATCAATGAGGGGCGGCAGCATGATACACATGAGTAGTTTGGATGGAAGAATGATAAGACACGACGAGTTTCGCAAGATGTCCATACTCTCTGTAAAGATGGGATTGTTATGGTAACTAGTATTTAGACGGACAATGTCGCGTTGTGCTAAATGGTGTGGAAGAGAGAAGCTATATTGAACATCGGTAGCTAAAACAGCCAAAAATATGAAAGAAGGGAAACATAAACAGTCTTGAACTGTTAGAGTACATCACGGTTTTTGAGCGCCAGACTCAAATAGCAAAGTAGACGGGTGAAATTACTTCGTCGTGTACAAAGCAGAATGGCCCGGTGTGTGCGGATGGTAGGTTAATTTGCCCATAAAATAGGTTTATGAATTGGCAATCAGTATAAACCACGTAAACTTTGTTGCAGGTGTCAATAGTACGCCGGAACATGGTGTCGTTGATTCTCTGACACGCTGCAGTGGTTGAGAGTGAATCGGGATACAAGTGAGATAAGCCGAAGATACATGGGTTAGAACCGGTGATCTGTGTATAGAAGCCAAACACAAACCGTTCCGCCACCAGCTAAGCCTAGTTATATATGGAATGTCATGTGTATCTAGCAATTCGGTCTGAGAGCAAAGCCAAGCATTTATGACCGAAGTAGAAATATTTGGAGTAGGTGCAGGAAAGCAAAGCAGTGAATACAGACAAAACAATTCTCACCGGTAATCAGCACCCCAACCTTTTACAAAGCTCATCCGGATAGTGCACATGTTGGTGAGAGAGTACACTGCTTCAAACCCACGTGTGACGTTCTCCGTTAGGAGATTTGCGAATTCTTGATTGTTGAATATTTTTAGGTTGCAACCAGGTGGGATTTTGCACACTGTGGCCAAATGCCAGTTGTACATGTGGTTGCAATTAGGGGATTGCACAAAAATGGCGCTGTCACTGAGGCATTCTGCAAAAACTTCACCACCGATGTAGTATAGTTTGACTCCTCGTCCTGTGTAAAAAGAGAGAATAGGAACGGTAAAGGCTAAAATAAGCAAAACAATGGGAAAAGTGGCTCACCGGTGCACCGAACAGGGTATCCGGATTGACTGATAAAAAGAATTATCCCACGTGCAGAGAATTGACTGGTTAATGACCGCAAAAAGGTTATGTGGAAGACGGACAATTAGGTGCGCTTAAAAGGCATTGAACTTAATGCTTAACGGACAATGAAAAATGCCCACAAGCCACTGGTGGTCTAAATAGCGTAGTAGGAAGAATCGTGCCGGTAAGAGTATGTTCTTGGCGGATCAGAGTTGGAGTTATGACCAGAGAGGCGAAGTCGATGCATTCAGATACATGCGAATACATGAGTATTCCGCGAAGACGCTACTTTGGAGTGAGTGTTACACACCAAAAGTCCGATATTTCTGAGAAATATAATAGCAAACTGGTTAAAAACGAGGAACTAACGCAGATCGATGATGTCGTTTTACCGGGTGACAGTTACTTTTCTAGAACATCAGAACCGAAGGGAGTCGCAATGTACCGATGAAATCATGGTAGGCGCTTTTGCAAGACGCGTCACTGAAGTGCAATGGGCTCATACACAGTGACAGAAGCCAAGATAATGAAAAATGATGGGGAACATAGGGAGGAACTCAGATATCATTCTAACGAAAATGGGAGAAAATAAAAGTGGTCGAAAGAAAAATCAACGAGCAGGAGAGCAATAGGTTTTGGTATGTCAAAAAGGTTCATAAAGATGATAGTCGATTCAGTGGACCTCATCCAGCAAGGTGAGAAGATACAATCAGACTAAATTATCCAGTCAATTCCACTATGAGCTCCTCCGTTTCATCCGTTGAGTACCCTGAGACACTACCCAAACAGGCAAACAAATACATAGACACGTGGTTCACAAACATGTGGGAGATACCATCCCAAAGCCAATGTAGGCAGTAACCGTGTAGGTTTCCAAACTCGTTAGCGGACCCACAACTCATGAGAAAAGCAAGGCTGGCACTGATGGCACAGGGTAATAAGTGTTTCAAAACCTTCAAAGCACAAGGATAGACGCGTAAGGCACCCAATCTTGAACAGATAAAGCTATGGCTAGCCAGTGACGCAGGGGATTGACTTGGAAAAGTCAAATGATTCATATGAACAGAAGTAGAATGCTTCGGTAGTTATTCGATCTTCAGTACTGATACAGCTGCCCATAAAGGTGATTAAATCGATCGTGCACCGGTACCTATAAGTACCGGACAGAGGTTCCGGTAACAAGATGCCGCTGAAGGTGTGTGTCTCCATGTGTCAGTCTATCCAGAGGCAAAGGAAAGGCATCAGCAGTACGCTGTATCGATGCTTCGCTGCCACGCAACGACCACTAGTCGCGCGTAGGTTAAGGGTATTGCGAGGGTCGCCCAGTCTCCTTCGCAACCTTGAACCCGCGACCCCCAAGTTGCAAGGCAGACATCTTGATCTTTCAGTCACGAGGCGACAGTGTTTGCATAGAAGTTTGGTCTGAGTTCAAAGGAGCTATATCGTCAGTGCTCTCTAAACTCAAGTGGTTACCTACTGGAAGTTCTATTCCGGAACAAACAAGCAGGAGGTTCAGTGGCGATGCTCTCAGTCGGTAATCTGAGAAAAGAGATCTCGGCACTGTCCTGGTAACAGACTGTTAGAACCCAGGGGGAAGGCGGTACTTGTTTATTGCTAAAGTGGCTTACACTAGGTGTGTTCGTTCATACCTTGGACGCGTCCGCTCATCTGCGTGATCTCCATGGAGTGTTCCCCAACTGGTGCTTGCCTCTGTGTTCACTCCTCGTGCGCATGGAACTGTAATCCTGATGTCATCTTCAACTTTGGGGAAGTCGGCAGGGCTCGCTGTTGGTGTGTCATCTCGCACCGCCACACTACTTATACCCGGCGCAGGAGTATCTACCTTTAATCCACCACAAGACTGAGAAGTCGGGAATCAACGCAGAGAACAGGCATAAGTTACTAGGTGTCGAAATTTTGATTACCTTCTCCGGTCGTGACGCAATACATACATACGCAATACACACATACTTAAATGTGTAGAAGTTTTGGTGGTGACTCGTGCCATGTGCGCAATCAGATCAAGCAGCGTAACCGGCTGCATCAGTTGTAGCTGTGCGCACAACACCGAGCGATTCACCCCCGGTACTAGTGCTTTATTGGTGGCCAACAGCTTCCGAGTTCTGATGCGTAATGCCATCTTGAATGAATTCCCATAGTCAACCTGGTCCAATCACTACATACTCAGAAAGTTACTCGCGAATAGGACGACTTAAATTAGGCAGATAAGTCACATGTAGTGGACAAATCGATGATGAAAATGCATCTAACCATTGAATCAGATGTGTTTCTCCATTCTAGCAAACATGTCGTGGGTGACGGTGAAGGTCGACGCAGTAGCACAAGAGATAAGATTAATACAACAACCGTTGGCGGATTTCACACAGAGGACTAGTACGCTCGTTTGATGCACTGCAGTTTTGAGTGAGTGTGCTGTAAGTGTGGCACAAGATAGCCCCAAAATAGAGAAGAGCGAGGACCGCCTGGTGACTGATTATATCTAATCAGTCCTTCTGAAGGTAAATGAAGATGTTAGTTTGAAAGGCAAGTTATGTGCACAGCTATTATGAGTCAGTGGAATCATATTGCTGAAGACGCAGAGGAGAAACATTGGGGAAAAAGAGCATCGCATTTGTGCGAATTAATACCACATGTAAGTAGTACGATATATAGTATCCGAAATAGGGAGGCTGCGATAAATTCGTAGCAGATGTGATCGGAAACATCGGGACTGTATAACTGCACCGAAGGCGTGGTCCAACAAAAGGCTGTTTACGATATTGTAAAGAGTGATCGAAACTAGTTTGGCGCGTGGTTGAATTTAAATCGTTGTTCTGACGGCACCTCTTTCTGTCTGCCTTTCAGAAAGACACTCCTGCGCAATTATTGAAGACGGACAACAACCTGAAGCGAACAGTTGACTATCCTACGTGTTGCGTAATAGACGTTCCGTCTCAATCTCTGGACTTCTCCCTTGCCTGTATGCTATAATATGGCTTCAATGAGTGTTGCAGGAACACAGATACATATGGCAGAACTCCAGTGGTATTGCAAATGCCATAAATAAACTGGGGATTGTAGAAGCAGTACCATTAATCGGGGTATGGAGCGGTGTAAGGGAAGTAAGATGGAGAAAGAACGGGGAAAACCAGTAGTTAGTGTTTTCGAGTATCATCATATTTGTATTCAGCAGGTAAGACGACGCTTTTGAGACAGCGGCTGTCGATGCAACAGGTATTTGGAGGTTGATGTTAAATTCATTTAATAAAGATTACACACAGTTTGGAATAATGCTGGGGAGCTCAAACCCATGGACGGTGGATGAACCGGTGGGGTGTCTGCCTTGTAACCCAAAGGTCACTGGCTCGCAACTGCGTGCGAGATCTCAGTATCCCCCTATAGTCCGCCCGTGCCCTATGGATGTTATTGTGGGTGAGAAACGTCGGTGTGGCATACTGCTGATGCCGGTCGGTCCATATTTTGCAGACCCAAGCAGAACGAGTAGGCTGCAAAACCAAAGCGTATAGCTCAAAAGCCTTATCGCAAGCCAGCAGGAATAGGGCCAATACAGATACAACCCGAACCTGGGGAGCTAGGAGACTGGATCCTCTTGAGCTTTAACCACTGACCAATGTGGGCACTGCACATTAGATAGAAGTGTGCAGGGCGCAGCAGACCCGCGACAGATGGAGTGGATGATTTACTAATCCAATAAATCGAGAATCTTGCATGCTGTTTCTCGAAATGGGAGACTGAACTTGTGGTCTAGTCTTAAAGGTTACGCACGTAAACCAGATTTCAGAGTAACCCACTAGCATAAAAGTCGGCAAATGCAGAAGAGAATATCACGAGCAAAGTACCACGGTCTCATTCGAATGGCCAACTCATTTAGACGGTCATTAGTGGTCATGAGTGATGGACAGAAGGTGTACAGATGAGAAAATCAATTTGGGCTCCAAGAGTTTATGCAATTTGGCTGGTGGCTAGGTATGAGGGTGTGTGAGAGGTAGTTGGTGTATCGAGAAGTAATTATTTAAATGTCCGAACAAATAGGAAAAAAGCCTGCTGATTTCATGCGATCGCTGAAGACAAAAGATCATCCTAAGTATTGGGCCTAAGCACTGCAGAGGTATAAGTCGACATAAAATGCCTGTAAAAAAAGACACACACATGGAGGGACCCAAAAATTGCGTGACAACCACTCACTCACCAATGTGTCTGCGAGTCAACTCGATCTGGCGTCCCCGATTCACATTGGACAAAAGACCGAGACAGAAACGGTTGTGTCGGTTCGGGTCAGTGAATCCATCCACTGTGAGACACGGACTGGAACAATGGAAGGTGTCACCAACACGTGTGTTCATCTCGTAATAATAAATGGAGCACCAGAATTCGGGCTCTTGATAGGCCACAGAAGTCATTTCCGTGCCATCAATTAGCACATCGTTGAACATGTCTGTGAAAAAAATTAGGAACGAAAAACAAAAGGGTTGGAGAAACAAAGATGAAATTCACTGAGTACATCGTATGGCATCCATTACTCACCCAAGTTGCCCTGTGATCAAAACAAGCAATGAAAAAGAGTGATGCCTTTTCGTGAACATACTGTCATCTGCAAGCACGAGCCGGTCTGCTTTAGAACGTTTTCGTATAGGCGTCTAGTTCAACTTATGTACCGTGGCTCACACGGAATACATACATCACAACTCGCGAGAATTTTATAGCTCCTGTCACTGGGTGTAAACTGTAGGTGACGGTGGGAACAAACGCGCACATCTGTCAACATTGGTGACGCAACGATAAAAAATACTATTGAGTCTGCAACATACGGTCAAACTCAGGGATATTAGCGGCGAATTCAGAGCCTTGTGCAACCTGAATAGCATCTATGAACTCAGGGTCATGAGGCACAGGACTCCTAACTCAGCAATGAAGACAGCATGATGCTTAGTAACCAAGCCTTCCGACACACCATTGCGTGCAAAAAAACAAGGGCCACCCTATCCTCTCATTTAGGTTGATCGAACGATACAAAGCAATATGTTAATCGCATGCGTAGGATAGCAGCCGAAAAATCACGGTTTCTTGCAAAGTTGAAACGCATACGATTAATTAATTTATTTGGGGTTGTAAAGGCAAAACTTGGAAAGCGAGAGGTAAAAGCAAACGATAATGGTTCCCAGATTTGACCACTGCACCTGACAAAAAAGATATTGCTAATTGCACGTGAGGAAATACAACTATTTTCGCATGATTAACATTAACAGCCCAGTGCGCTGGAAAAGTGAACCGAGGATGGCGGATAAGTAAAGATATGAATGGGCAGCATCTGTGTCCAGAGTTGACTGTCAATGCGGCCTCCATAGGACAGTAACATGACGCCTGCGCCTAAAGAGGGGCCATGGGTGGCTTGTGCTGCATCCCACAGTTCAACCCACACACACCCCATATGCGGTTTAAACACGAAGGATTAAGAATGGGGGGTATGTGGATGAGAGCCACGTTTCATCAACGGAGCCGGCCCACAGTGCTTCAATAAGCAAAGCAAAAGCATCTATGCCTAAAATGACTTGATGCACTGGTGGCCCAGATTGATCGATCCTGGATTCAACTGTGCGCTGCGCTTCGCAATTGGTATGCAAACATTTTATCACCACACGAGGTGACTTCCTCAGTGCGCTGCTGGGTCAAACGTAATCCGCTGACTTGGTCGTCGATTTGTAACGGATTAGCAAGTGACTTTTGAACTGACCTCCTCGATCTGTACCCCGTGAACACCCGTCTGCCCAAATACTGTGATAGACACGGGCGATCCGTTGGATGGTTTTGCCCCGGCTGTTGCAGCTGTGTTGTTGACGGCTCGTTTAGCTGAGCACGACAGTCTGTAAGTTGTTTTAATTCTCTCCATCTTAGCGTTTCGTAAACTGGGTCAATCTCGACGTGCATGTTTATCGAGTATAATAAATAAATAATAATGCGTCAGCTGCACGTCGTAACGGCGCTTCGCTGCCGTGCGACCACCACCAGTCTCACGTGGGCTGAGTATACCGCGAGGACGTCCACCCCAACGCGGACTCGAACCGGTGACCTTATGGTCGCAAACCAAACGCGCAGACCACTCGGCCACCGGCCGAGTGTTTCGTCGAGTACCATGTATGCCTAATTGGGAAATCAAGCGCACCAGATGTACACAAGGCAGTGGCTGGACTGTGGTCCGCTCCACGCTGAATGCATAGAACTACTCTTTGAGCCTAGCACGGCTACGAAGACCGTGCACCCCGCCCCCAGAAACGATTCACAGTTTGCTGGAGTCAGTAAACGAGGTGGAGGGTGCTTGACAGGTAGGCACGTTGTCAAAATTTACCTCAAGCGCAACCACTTCGCAGATATCAAACAATCAACACAGAATTTGAAGGAAAATAAACATGTAATATTTGGCACGGAATATGCAGCAGAGTAGCAGAACTGAGCAAATCAAATAAAGTGGATTACTTCTTATCCAGATTAGGAAAGTTAAGTTCAAGCGTTACTTTGGTATGTCACGGTACTAGAGTTAACTTGAGAAGATAGCAATAGTCACAAAGAGTGCAAAAGTGTAGTGCACGCGGAGTCATCGTGAAAGACAACCGGGCCAGATAAGCCCAATATGAGGTAACTTGGATGTGGATCTTAAGTCTTAGACAGGTGAAATACAGGTAATGCATGGCACCAAGTCAATAGTTAATCACTCTACAGTGAAAGTGTACCCTAAAAAGAAGAAGAAAAGTAAAATTTGATCAAAACTAGAATGAGACATCCTTGTTTCTCACATGCCGACTTTCTTTTTGTGCCGTTTTCACAGTCTTATGGATTAAAGATGTAAATCTGTACAATTCTGTCCACTATTGCTATACGAGTTCGGATTGCAGGTCATGTCTCCAAGAGTGTTAAGCCATTGGTACTCCTCATCTTTGAGTCCATATCCAGGAAGACGTACGGGTCCAACGGCAGCTAGACGTGACGTCAGCAACTCCAGGTGTCGTTGCCAAGTGTGAGGCTGACCACCACGCGGTCGCCTCCAGCCCGTTCCTGAATGAGCGAATAAAGCGTGGCATGGCAAACGCGCATGCATCATGCGTAAGACGTGACCGAGACATCTCAACTGTCGCAGCAAGAGCAGCTTGTTTAAGGGAATACTCTCATTTCTAAGGACGCGACGTCTAACATCACCACGGTGAACTCGGCATTGCCACTACACACAAGCGATCCTCCTCAAACAACCGATGTCGAAGGCGGAAGTACGACACATGTCCTCAACGCGAATCGGCAAGGACTTGCTACCATACAATAACTCTGAACGAAGAGAGACACTGTAAACGCAACCGTTCATGGATAGGGAGATGTTGCGATGACGCCACAAGTGCCTAAGATTGACAAGTGTTGACCTGGCCTTAGCGATGCGGAGAGAAACCTCGCTGATAGTGCGGCCAGCAAAAACACAGCTCCAAAGGTATACGAAACTATCTATCTGTCCAAGCTGTGCTATAGCAACAGTGAACACGAGAGCAAGTTGGACCAATTCTGCAGCTGCACGTTACACATCGAGGGGGGAGGCGAAGCTCACGTCATACCTAGATGCTTCAATCGCCAGAAGATTCAGAATAAGTTGTATACTCTGTGGATCGCCATCAAATAAGGCGATATCACCCGCATAGTCTAAGTCGGTCGCGCGCTCAACCGGTAGAAGCTCTAGACTGCAATTCTGAAAAAACTTCTAGAGTTCTAAACGAAACGTCTTCGATTGCATAGTTGAAGAGGAATGAGGACTTAGGGCAGCTCTGTCGCACACCGCTTATGAAAGCACTCTGCTGGAGATAAGGTAAAGTGCGCGTGGGATGGCGGTATACTTCGTTGACACCCATTCCTTTGCACGGACGCCACAAAGCGAGTCGATCAGCTGAGTCAAATCCAGCCCGTATGTCTAGGAATGCGACGATAGTGGGCCTGACGTAAACGTGAAGATGTCCGAAGAGTTGGCGGAGCGTGAGTATTTGATGCATTCATTCACGGCCGGGGTGGAAACCAGCTTGTCCTTCACGGTAGTAAGATTTACGTACTGGGATTAGTCTAAGAAGCAGTAGGTATGCCATTAGCTTGGAGGCACTCGAAATAAAACTAATCCTGTGATTATTGACACGTGAAGCGCTAGCACTTAAAAAAAATAGGAACACTAATTGGGTCGCCACAAGAAGGCGCTGTTTCTTCAAGGTAAATTTTTGCGAACAATGAGGTCAGTTGGTTAATGATCGCCACTCGTCGTACCTGAACAGCTCAGGAGAAAGTTCGTCTGCGTCAGCTGCCTTGAATCGCTACAAGTGTCGAACCTCAATGTACACTTCCGCTTCGCTGAGTGGATCCAGTGGGACGAGCCATGGCAAGCAACAAAGTGTACTGCGTGCAAGGACGGACGGTGGAGCGCAGTTGAGTTGCGAATGTAAATGCTCGGCCCAGCAGTACAAACGTCTCTGCTGCCTGGTGATCGGAGACACAAACGCCTCGGAACTAACCTCACTGACACCAGGTTTGCTGAGGCCAATGGACCGAATGAGTTGGGAATGAGTTGGGTGTTGCCAGAGAAAGCAGCGGTCTCCATCTCAAACGCACGCTCAGACGTTGCGCAGGCTTTGTCTGAGCATCCGGTTAGCAGAACGGCGCTGCTCTTTGCAATCTGATTCTTAAGGGGTATCTCCGTGGCGATCGAACAGCTCCAGAGACAGCAGAGATCGAAACCTTTTAGCGACATCGGGATAGACCGCAGACTGACTGTCCGGACGTGGTCGTCATCTTCGGTATACAAGTTCAATATTGCTCAATGTCTTGCGGTGGATTGTAACTGATTACGTCTGTAAGTAAAGACTGATAGTTCGCCTGAGCCGAGGAAACTGTTAATCATTACACATCAGACTTCTGGTGCTTCATTTTTGGAAATGTGCAAAACATGCAGATTTTTGCGCAGGCCAGCGCATGATCTGAATCAATGAAGGCGGAACAAAAGTGTCTGCAGTTCAGTACGCTGCTCTGCCACGTGAAGCTGACTGCGATGTGATTGATTTGTGTTGGCGAAGGGGGACGCCAAGTTGCGGAACGTTTCTTCCTATACCTGATGCTGGCGCTCGAGAGAAACAGACGGTTGTCAGCGCACAATGTGAGTAATCTCTCATTGTTATCAGAGCCGTCATCATCGAGCGCGTGGTGACTACCAAGGTGGCGTTCGTATGGTAACAGGAGGTCAATCCGTGCATTGAAATCCCCAGCAAGGACAATGACAACGGATTTTTTAGGCGCTACTCAAGAGCTAATGAATCGGTAGATAAGAGTCGTACATGATCGAGCCACTACTGCAGTCGGTCGGAGCGTATGCGGACATCACAAACAAGCTGCGTCTCTCCTCGCGACGCATGTTGACTGCCCAGAAACTGCAAAACCGAACTGCATATGGCTGTTAATCAGGAAACACACCAGCAGTACGACCTCGGCCTTGCCACTTAGTGCTATACCTGCAGTCAAACAGGCTGAGGCCGCTTTGGCGTCTCCAGAAAGACATAACATCTGGCTTCCTGGTTAGTGGAGAATGTCAGCGTAAGCAGTGCATCGGAAGGGCAGCAAAAAATTTCAATATGCAGGAACTCTAGGGTGAGCGCTAGACCATCTTGCTGTTCAAACGGCACGAGTGCCTGTACGCTGAAGCACGCTAGATAGAACGACGATGGGGGTCGAAAAAGAGAGTTATAGATTGAAGTCCCTGGTTCGCGGGGCAATCGGAATCACAGGAAAATGCATGAACAAAGGAATCAGGTAACGGATAACAAGGATTGTTAACAGATAAACGATTAGCGTGTGGCGAAGTCATGTGAAGGTAAGAAGCAAAAAAAGTAGCAATGTAGAACAGTTCACGGTATTTTGTAAGAGGGCTTGATACTACCCGGTTGCCCAAGCCGAAGTTGGGAGTTGACTTAGGGGATGCCACTTCGAGTCTTTGGCTAAATAACCCACCCGCAAGGCAGCGGGGTGAATTCGGGGAATCGCGCCAATTGGGAGCCAGTGACTGGTTTCGCAGTTCATATGCCCTTCGTCTGGTAGGTTACCAGAGCCTAATCCTCTCCAAGATAACAGTAAGAGGGGGCTGGAATACGATGCTTCACCGCAATGAAGTAAGGGGGCAGTATGAAGTATCAACATCGTTGTATGTAGATGACATGGCCGGCATTAGAATGAGTGGTGCCCGGTTGCACCCCTACCGGTAACACGTGACGAAAGTGGATCTGTTTGCGGAGGATCTATGTCAGCATGAAAAATGTATAGGTGTAAACTATAGAAACCAAAGAAACGTCAAAATATCGGAGAGGCGAGAGTAGACAAACTTCGTCAAGCAATCATTGCTAATATATCCGGGTGCTGGTGGATCCGAAACGCGATGGGAGCACAATTCCCAGGTTGAACCACGAGGTATTGATCCCAAGGGAAGCAGCGGAAAGACTCGGAAATTTAGGGCAACCGCTGAATAACATAAACTAAATTAGAGGCGGTAACCACCTTGATACAAAGATAGACGTAGCGCTAGACAATTGCAGATGTGAGCAACGACTTACGATCGTACCCTCATCCAGATGATTCCAAAGTGTTAGTCTGGTAAGCGACTAAATTAGTGCGACAGAAATTACCGCTTCTATAATGCGTACAAGACGAAGTTTAATCACTAGTACAATGTTGAACATATTTACTGAACCCAGTAAGAAACGTAGAGCTATTCGCACGCATTAGATGATACAGTCTTAAATAGTATCAAGGCGTTGGGAATGATAAGTAACGCCGACTAATCCGAATGCGTGATAGTCAGGGTGGATAACAAGGTACGCGAACACGCTTCGATATGCGATCTGTTTGGCCAACAAACTAATGATCACTAGAGCTACAGCTGATGAGGCGACACTATGGGTAGGCGTGTGATACAGCGGATGCATCCATGAAACCACGCCCAAAACAACTGCGCAATTGTTCCGAGATGCAAATACTAAGCTGGCGTAAACAGTACGCTCCCTCTGACTATCGTCAAGGCGGATTGGTTAATGTATCGGTTGAGGATAACCTCTTAACGGACAAACAAAAATGCACGTGAGCGATGACACCATCACGTGTGAAATAGTTTGTATGATTTTAAACCAGATGATGCACTGCCAGAACAATGTGTGGAAATATGCCACTGTTCGCACAGCATCGATTGAAGAGAAGTTGTAGATGCAAATTGTGATTGTGGAAGATATGCCGTATCCAAGTTTAAAAACAGGTTCTCATTAAGTGGCGAGTGTGACGCAACCGGAAACTGCTTGAAACACACTGACAGGCTTCCAATCCACCTTAATGTTCAGGCGAGAGAGGCAGACACAACAAGTGATTATGCAGTAGTTGTCCCAAAAGTGACACATACATGTAGATCGATAAATAAAACTGAATAACGCTTAATTATGATGGTCCGTGGAATGTGGACAACAAAAGGATAAACTAGTTCGTTTAAGCGGAAGACGCAAGTAAAACAATTTGCAGTGAGCAAACAAAGCATTAATCACGAACATTTCCCGCTGGTCCCAAACAGCTCGTTAATCGACTGGAATGTTTGAAAGACGGTTCCAAGAAGAGAAGTTCTCAAGCAGATATCTACATCCTAAAGATGAAACAGTTATTGCAAAATACATTGAGTGTTAGCCTGTATCAAGGAACACGGTTTGCTCCAGAATGGGGGTAATAAAAGATAGACCGTTTTGAGCCTGTCAAGTATGCCTATATGCTGGTATGTGAGCTATCCACAAGACTACGGGATATAGTGAGTGAACAAGAACGGGTGCCGGCTACGAATAGCGAGGAAAAATATTATGAATCTGTCAAAGACGGCCACAACGTGATCGTATTACAATGTGATTCGCCTTAAGTCAGGAGTGACTAAACTTCTTTTCACAGCGGGCCGGATAACTAGAAAAAGACTCAAGCAGACCGTATAACTGACAAAATGGTTAGCGTGAGCCGTATAATCATTATGCATAATGTGTGCAATTCAGAACGAAAACTTTGAGAGGAAAGACAAAAAAACGCGACACTCGGTACTTGCCGATGCATGGGTTTCATGCGTGATCACTCATATCAATGTTCACACGATATGGAGTAACTAATGGTACGGTAGTATGGTGTCACATGTAACAATCATGAGCCGGCTGGCGATAATATTTAAAACGTATAGGGTAACGTACAAAAGGAGATGCAGTGTCAAATGTAAATTTTATCACAACGCGTGTTCCATACGCTCTACCAAGAAAATTCGGGCGCAGTCGACGGGCCGGATTCAGCTCGCGGGCCATGGTTTGGTGACCACTGCCCTGAGCGATAGTTACGCACGATGCAATGATGATGACAAACATCAGAGCTATAACTTACCCAATCCTAAATCCATATTATCGTCCTCACTAATGCAGTTCTCCTCCGGAGATGAGAGAGTGTCAGGAGGGCTGCCAGATGGTCCGATCCCACAAGTACTCGATGCTTTCGGAGTGGTAGAAGAGGAGACAGAAGAGGGCGGTTGCATATAACCAGAGCCGCTGATTTCGTTTGCCGCATGACCGCTGTACTGGGAGTCGTTCATGGGATCATCTTGGTTAAGAGGGTTGGAGACACTGGAAGAGTAATCGTCCACTCCGATGGGTCGTAAACTGTAGTAGCAAGAGAAATGGTTAAGAAACAGTGGATGGAATAGGAGAAATAACAGTGAACGCACTGAAGCTTACAATAACGGCAACAAGCAGGAGAACACGTTAATCAAACTCACCCGATTGTATTGTTCGCTGTAGCACCGTGCGAGTGGTTAGCGCTGGAACTGCTCAAATTTCGATGCACCAAATAGTCCTGAGAATCGGTGCTACCGCCTCGCCCCATCATCAAGAACGGATAGCCGTGAGCTTGAGAAGCAGCACCAGGAGAGGGAGTGTGCACCAAACTGGGAGGGCCCCCGAGAGTGGCGTTCTCTGCCGTCTGAACAAACAAAGCAGTTTAACAGTGATGTAGAGCCCATACTAATACGAAAAAATTATAGCTCCCATTGTGAATAAGCGGATCGATAAAAAGACCGAATTAGTAGACAAGTGAAACAATGGAAGAGAAGTTAGAGGAGCTATCAAGTGTCAGTCATTCCGAGTTTGGTTGTGGTAACGGAAACAACCCACTGCAACGGGACCAGAAATAGCTAAACACCAGGCGAAGAAAGCAACAATAAGCCGGCACCTCGGTGCTATGCGGCCACGGCTGTCGGTTGTGGACTAGGGATGCTGCGAACTTAAACGCGCCTAAGTGGACGTGAAAAGTACAACTCAGAAGTGTGGTCCGCTCAGCTATAGACCACAGGCTATATTGTACTGATCACTCTAAGCCGAGTAACTAACAGTAACTGTTTTGGCTTAGGTTTCATCTATACCCAACAAGCCAAGTTAATGGATCCGATTTGAGACGAATGGAGAGCGGGGGTTGATACAATTCGGGCAAGTGGGAAAAACTGCGATGTAGTGGGCGAAGTTTTGGTCAGAAGGGATCCGGTTGAGCAGTAAGATAAAGGTAAAAACTTCGGGTGGAATATGTGTGGACCAAGGAATGACAAAATGGGGTGGATACTTTGATCAGATAAGCATTGAATGGTGGAGTTGAGTTCCTTTTTGTCCACTTGAACACAAGGAATATAGTTGAGAATGCATGCCAGGATAAAGACAATAATAAGCTCACCTCCCGCAGACTCACACAGGGAGGATGTGAAGCGGTAGAACTGGGAGCAGGATTTTCACCCAACAATGACCTTCCACTAGGTCCCAAGTCATCATTTGTGCCTCGTGACAACGCAGCAGCGGTGACAGCATCGGTGGCCAGGTGTTGCCGAGGTTGTTTCGAAGGTGGCACAAGCAGTGCTGCCAGGCTATTGGGTTGATGACCAGAAGAATCGTCGCTGATGTGCATCGGCTCCCCACCCAGAGACACAGTGGAACCGTGATGGCTGCGCATTGCGTGGGACGGATGAGAGCCGGATTGGTATGCGTGATGCACAGAGGAATAATTTGGACCGTGATGTTGATGGCCGAAACGGGAACTGGTTGAATAGCGATCACTGTGGTCTCCAAGGCTCGGGCGCATACCGCTTCCGCCACTGATGGCGCCATTGCCGCTATTGTTGGCGCCTCGAGGAACCATGATAGGAGGAAGAACTGAGGAACAATGGGTGAAAACGTGATGGTGCTAGATCGTTGAAGCTATGAAGCGAAATTCTAAAATGTTGCCCAAGAACTTGGTGAATAAGGTAATGTTGGTAGGGTACAAAAATAAAACAAGAGTCTGCTTGGGAGAGTGGATTCCGTAAACAAACCAAGGAGTAGTATGCGAAGGATGATTGAAAACAAAGATCAAACCAGTGGAGAAGATATGGTTGAATGGCATAACAAGAATATCAGAGAAGGAAGCATTCGAGACACAACAGTGGAAGAATGGACTGACGATTATCGTCCTTCATGATGGCACGAAGACGACAAAGTTAAAGAGTGGTGTATACCAGCATGCAAGCAGCATCATTCACAGATCAAATCGGAATCCATCAACTCAAGGCATTGCTCAACATCGGAACTAAGACTACCATCCTAGAGATTCTGGCAGCGACAGGAGCTTGTTACATCCTGCAATAGTTAGCGAACAAACAACAAAGTGAAGTGGTCCCAAGTCGATTGAGACGGAGAACTGAGTTGTGAGGGAGAACGGAAACATGGGCGCACAAACACTGGAAATAGCTCTCCAAGCCTCTCACTACGGCAAAAGAAGGTTAAACGTTTCTCCAACAACACAATGTACAAAATACGGGCGAAATCACCAAGCGTATCACGTTTTTTACCCAAAATTTACTGCTGAAGAATAGTGCGACGAGGAAAAGAGAAAGCGCGTTACACAATAACGGTGATTATTTATCACCTACCCAGGGTTGGTCGGAAGTTATGTAAGTTCTGCACAATGGTTCGAGCCAGCCAACACTGACTAACGAAATCATGATTGCACGAGCGGAATATCTGGTCCGAATACTGATCAATTTAACAAGTTATACAGTCCAACCTGCTATGGCGACCAGCCAAAAACAGCCCCAACCTTTTCTGCCATGAGTAATGTTCCACTGTGTGAACCTGTCTATGGCTGCCACCTGTCCAAGGCCACCACTTTTTGTCGGTCCCTTGAGTGGTCGCCTCACACAAGTTTGACTGTATATACTTGGAGCACCGAAGTGTGACATAGGCTGTTGCCATGAGCAATGTGTCATGGCAGGAATAAGCCAATTAGTGACAAGTAGGGAGAATGAGAGGGGAGAGAAACACAACCAAACAGGGAAAAAGAAGTTCGGTGGTAAAAGTATGACCGTGGTTGATTCACGTTACAGTGGGTCCAGCAGTTGATGTGGCCGGTTGCTTTGGCGAAAATAAAGGTAGGTCTATCACTGAAAAGATATGTCAGATAGTCTGGTGTGTACTGCCAGTAGGGGAGTCGCAGAGAAGGAGGTAGGTGCTGGTAGCAAGGTCATGTTATATCCGGTCGTAAGTGCACGGCAAACCGAGAGAATGTGAGTTTGTGTGTGTAAGCAGTTTCAGTACAAAGGACACGAACGTCCGCAACGGAGAACCAACCAAGCCGGGCTACGGAACATGCACGGACGGGCTCCGATGAAATTTAATGGCAAGTGGAGCGCGTCGCTGAGTGGCGCACCCCGTGACGGGTGATAAGGCATGCTGATAATAAAAACTGGGTCACTCGCACGTCTGGGTGGACAGACGTAGGTTCGGAGACGAGGTGATGGGGTCAAACGGCAACCGGTGCGCTCCAGGTCAAGGTGGTCGCGCAAATGTGCACAAGTGGCTTACTGTCCACCCTATATGTGGGTTTGTGTGCTAGCTAGTCAAGCCATGGAAATGCCACTTGTTAACGCCTGCGGTAAATCAGTTCAGTTCAGCTGTGAATTGAAGCGCAATGGAATCAGCTAGCTTGACTCACATCGCCACTATAATAATAATAATAATAATAATAATAATAATAATAATAATAAAGGATAATGGACAGAAATCAATCTCTTCAGGTTAAGTAGTTAATACAAAGAGGTGGGAATGAATAAGGCCAAATGCCTCGCAACTGCGGTGTATTAGATCCCGAAACCCCCAACTAGGAGAGAGACGCCAACCAGCCTGACTCAGCCCTACGGTAGATGTCTTCATATTATTTCACTGACTGGTAACCTAGAGCTTTTACAGACTACGCACAATAATGACAGATAGCACACCGGAGGAAGCGCATTGTGGAAATGCCTGAGACAGCCACCGTAGATAATTCCAGTACAACAGACCTTCACAATGCGATGCCAGAGGGCCTGCGACAAATAGCGACTGACGAAGAACGTCAGCATCGTCCATTCGATACTCACAATAGGCATGAGCAATATTTCCCAGACATCATGATGAAAGCAGTGAAGTGAATTATTTGTCACCAGTACGTAACGACTGTCTCAGCTCCATATGGTAGGGCTGGTGGCACTGTTGCTTTTCTCCTAATTAAAAAGCACATATCACGTCTGTATAATTGAATGGGGCTCCGAAGAGCCACACGAGCATTGACAATGCAAGCAGCAAATTATTCTACGGATCGACTATGAATAAGGACACAACTACCAAAATAATTAGAACAAACGACCATTTCGGGTCGTGGTGCAGTGATGGTGTGAAAATGTGCTGTCCATCTAATCCTGTATTTTATACGCTGGGACGAGTAACGTTAAGCAAAGTCTATGCAGCAGAGTTTACACAGGACCGTGCATCATACAAAGATAGCTAAGTCGCCCGCGTACTACAGGATTCACAGACAGTTATTTATCAATCTATACTTAGAAGTGAGAAGTTGATAGGGCAGCCCTGAGACCGATTGCCGTGATGAACTCGGGGGATAACTTTTACTTTACTTTACTGCAGTTAGCTATTGCAATTACGATGAGCCGGCTTCATGAATGCCGCACCCGCATAAGCGCGACGTTCGGTGGTAAGCTCCACGCAGAAACTGATCCAATAATTTTTCCAGTAACTAGCACCATGCACAACTTGGAGTCCTAGAAGATAGACATCTGATTTCACTGCAGCGAGCCACGTTTTTAATTGACCACCAGGTGCATCCTAAGGGGAGAGATGGGGATGGAGCCGAAAGCGTCCTTCCAAGTCAAGCTAAGAGTTCAACTCCAGGTTGCAAGTAGAAACTGTTTAAACTAAGTAGGCTCCGAGTTCGTTTCGCTCTCGTTCTATCAAACCCACGCTGAAAGTACTGGAATGACTTACTGAAAGCTGCGATCGACGTCCAGAATGAGGAACTTTTCAGGTGACTTTTGGATTCTCACCTGCTGGGACCTTGCTGCTTCCAATATGGCTGTTACAGCCCATTGTGAAATACCGCTTCGCAACGATTCGCACCTTCCACGCAAAGATCGGGAAGTGAAAGACCTGACAAAGGACTGCGCTTCTGCTCTCTGCAATCCAATAATCCAAAGACTCCACATAGTTTTCGCACCAAAAGTCTTTTCCCAACCTCCAGTTCCGCCGCATTGTTGCCGAGCGGAATTTACCACTGCGTTAACCGTAACAATGCAATCAGATGGCAATTAAATAAAATGAAGCTTTTATTCTCGACAAGGACACGCGTTTACAGGCACGATCATTGTAACATAACAATGCGTGAAAAAGAAGGTGCAAAAATACGACATGTTTGCTATAACAGTGCACGTTTGTTAAGGGCTGTATATATGTATGTAATTGTGTGTATGTAGCTGTGTAGTTTGCGCATGTGTGCCGCAAGCTGAAGCTGAGGTTGCATTCATGATGGTTCCCCACCGCAGCTGGACTAAACCAATTTAAACTAGGTCAGTTTAAGCAGGATAAATTTCACTCCACTTTCTTTGGTTTGCTCTGCCTACCTGAACATTCTTCTATTAACTTGCACACGTTGCTTACGCTAAGTGCGCTTCGTTAACTTTATTGCGTTTGTAGCATTTTTTGTGTAACTTCTGGACATTTTCGCGGATTAATTGCTAACCAACTTGTTTCATATGCTCATTTAGCGAAGAGTTGTGTGCACATAGCCGTATGCTTTAACAGATATATTTTGTTTGATAATGTTATTTCAAGTGATTGGCTGTTGCTTGATATCCCCCGTGTGGCTGCGCTTGATGTGCATGTTGACAAGGTGCCTACCTGTATATTTCCCACCACCTCGTCCATACTGGCTTCAGGAGACAGCTGGTCGTTGCTGGAGGGGACAGGGTGCAAGGTTCTTGTGGCCGTGTTAGGATCAAAGAGTGGTTCCATGCACTTAGTGTGGAGCGGACTACGATCCAGCCACCACCTTGTGTGTGCGCTTGATTCCCAAATACAGCGTGCTTGTGTGTGCCTGTGAAGGAGTGTGGGCCGGCTCCGTTGGTGAAACGTGGCTCCCATCCGCATGCCTCCTTCCTTCGGATTTACACTGGACATGGGGTGTGTGGATGGAGCTGTGGGTGGTGCAGCACAAGCAATCCATGATTCCTCTGTAGGCACAGGAGCCGTGTGGCTTGCCACAGTGACAGGCAAATCCGAAACCGGATGCCGTCAAGCAGATCCCAATCTGCCTCTGCAATCACATTCCCGAGCTGGATCTGCTCCCCACTGCCTTGTGGGTCAGGCTATTGAGCCAAATGCTCCTGGCGGAGTCCCACAAGCAAACCTCCAAATAACCCCCTGCCATGTGGGTAATGATATTGAGCCAAAGGCTCCGGGTGGAGTCCCCATGCAAACCTCCGAAGCACAACGACCAACTCGCGTTCGGGTGCCCACTAATGTAATCGTATACCTGCGCGCAAAGCACTCAGCATCGGGTGCTGCAACGTGCGCACACTACTGGACCGGAACACGAGTGAGCGCCCGGAGCGACGCACTGCACTGGTCGCGATGGAACTGGCGCGCTACAACATCGAGATAGCAGTGCTCGGTGAAACCCGGCTCGCTGAGTAAGGTACGTTGCATGAAGCAGGTGCTGGCTACACATTCTACTGGGTGGGGAAGGCCGCCACAGCACCACGTAAACATAGGGTCGAATTTGCAATCTCCGACCGCCTCCATGGCCACCTCGTGGGTGAAAACAGGCATCAGCGCGAGACTAGTTGACTGCT